AGGGCTGCCTCCCAAACTGGGTGCTGCAGAGGAAGCCTCTGCCACAGGAGGAAACCCTCCTCCCTCTTCTCGGGGTCTGGGGGGGGGCACACCCTTCCCCTCCTTGCTATGCCGTTGGCTCCCCGAGACCTTTCTCCTGCTAGTCCGGGGAGCAGAGGCAGGGGGGTGGGCCCTGCAACTGGAGCCCTCTCACCAGAAACAAGCAACTGGCAAACCTACTCCCACCTGCCACAAAGTGGATTGGCAGTAGGGTCTGGTTCACACCTGCAAGGGAATCAGGAGGTAGAGGCCTGAACTGGAACAATGGACTGCCCAGTTCCAGGTGGTGGAAGAGGAGGAGGATCCCATTTTCAAAAGCTCTGCTATGTTCACAAACTCCCTGGAAATAGCTTGCTGGTCAGGCCAAGAAAAGGGGAGAACTTTTGCCGGCTGTTCTGATTGTTTTCTCTCTGTGTGACTTTTTTTAAATGTGAAGGACCACTAAAAGATGGAACCTACCCATCTGTACTCTTTCTACCGTGGCTGTCTGATAGAGGATCTAGTTGTACTGTGCAGCATATTCAAAGCAGTTGTGGTTCAGTTTCTTCCTAACACCCTCATTGTCTTTTCTCTTATAGCAGCACGAATGGTGTGGTTCCGTTTCCTTCCTTTTTTAGAGGATATTTAGGAAGAACATGGGGATTCTAAGTCTATGCTGCAGCTACTGATCATTTTGTATAAATTAACCTGGGACAAAACTGATAACTGGATTGTCCTTCTGCATGTGTGAGCAGCCTGACTCTCAGCTTCAAGCTCATTTCCATTCCCTCTGCAAATAATTTTTGCTGTGAAATTAAGATATTGTCCATTTGCCTATTTTCATGGGTGAAAATATGGTTTTCGCACTCCGGAGCTGTGTTCCATGTGATATGGATTCATTTTCATTTGTTTTGAGTGTAGTGACTGTGAAAACTAATAATTAGTTGGTGTCTCTGTGCTTGTTTCAGTGTCCCATTTTGTGTGTGCACGTGCATATATAACAGCGATCTCTTTCTCGTTTCTTGTAGTTACAATGAGTTTCAGTTAAGACATAATGCAAAATCAGGTTTCTTTGAACTATGATTAGTTTATGGAACCAGGGTTTGGCTTTTAGACCATAGCTTCTGACTTTCCTTGACAAATGGTGGTTTCATTTCCTTTGCTGTAGCCAGGAATCATGTCTGGATGTCTAGGTTTTGTACAGCACTCAAAACCATAGCTAAAAACTAACTAGTAGCTAATAAACCAACTTTGAACCACAGTTTCTGATTCTGGATTTATGTTTCCTAACTAAGCATAGCTGGCTTGATCATCTAACTATAGTTAGTTTACTTAAACCGTGGTTTTGTGTGATGTCTGAACCAAGCCTTTGTATTGGAGAGACACTGTCCTCATGCCTCATGTAGGATAGTGTCAGTACCTCTTTCTCCTGCCTTCTACCTAATGTAAAATACCTGTTGCGGATTTAGGCATCCCTGAAACCACAGTTGGATTGTAGCCATTGTGCGTATTTAGTAGGGTGACTCTGCGGTTTGCTCTTGAGCTGTGATACCTTAAAAAAAAAAAAAGGAGTAAAAGAGGGAGATTACAAAATAAGAACTCTCTGGCAATATGGTGTATACCTTTTGTGGGGGAGGATGACCAAAGTCTTACTGTGTACAGATCTGCAGTTTTGGGTTTTTTTATTTAAACACTTATACCCAGCTTTCCTCCCCCATTGGGGACTCATGTAGCTTGTGAGTGCTGGTTTGGTATAGTGGTTAAGAGTGCGGACTCTAATCTGGGAGGAACGGGTTTGATTCCCCACTCCTCCGCTTGCAGCCAGCTGGGTGACCTTCCCCACCCTCCAAGTACTAACCAGAGCTCAACCGGACCTGGATCACCCAGGCTAGCCCAATCTCGTCAGATCTCGGTAGTTAAGCAGGCTTGGCCATGGCTAGTATTCGGATGGGAGACCTCCAAGGAATACCAGGATGGTGGTGTGGAGGCAGCCCATGGCGAACCAACCTCTCTTGCCCTGAAAACCCCGTGGGGCCACCATAAGTCAGCTGTGACTGGATGGCACGTTCCACCACCAATACGTGGCTCATTTCTGGATTGTCTCTTTGTCGCCCTGTTGTGTCTGAGAAGAGGATCGACCTGTTCTCTGACAGACAGGTGTATGTGTAAATGACTGTCAGTGAGCTGCCATTAAGGGTTCTGGTTCCCTGAGAGTATTCCCTTCCCCCTTGGCCTTTTCTGTTGTATTCTTCACATTCTTGTTTTTGTAGGTGCCTGTAACAGCTCAAGGTTACACAGCTGGAGTGGGAGAACGAAGCCCTGTTATCTGCTCGCTTGTTAGTGGTATCTTTCGCCTGTGAACCAAGGGCCTGTTTTGAGAAAGGCAAACCGTTACATTCCCATGTAATTACCTGTCAGTGCCTTCCTTATTCGCGCCAGCGGGAAAGGGATCTATTGGTTATAACTTGGTTCAAAGTTCCTTTATTATGTTACCCTCTGGGGTCTGTACCCATTCCTAACAATTCTATTGTTCCTGCTTCTTTCAAACGCTTTGGAATAAATTTTGCTTTAACCTTTAAACGTGGATTTATTTTGGAGTCTTTGGAGATTCAACAATGACTTGGTGGGCCACTTATGTGGGCTAGTGACTGACTAAGACGTTGGCTGAGGCAGCGGGGGGCATCGTCCAGCCGGCCTCCCAATGGCTGCTGCCTGAGACCACCATGGCTCGGTGCCGGACCATCCATCCGGCTGTAGGAATTGAGACGGATATGCTGCACTGCCCACTTTAAATGTTTTAAATGGGTTTTATTGTATTGTTTTAATATTGTTATTTATTATTTCTTGACCAATTGTAAGATTACACTGTGTTTGCTGTTGTGAGCCTCCCTGAGCCCACTTGTGGGAAGGGCGGGGAAGACATCAAAATAATAAGTGAATAAATGAACTGTGAGTTTACAGCCACTTGAATCAGTATGTCTTCCATCGGAGCTACTGCTCTGTCTTTACAGATTAGAGTCTGGATATTTTTTAAAATCCTCATGTTAAGGTCAGTAATAATGGTGATACAAGCATTTGAATGACATGGTTCAATTTTGGTAGAACAACGTCAGAGGTGAATCCTTACCAGTATACCGGCTGCATTTTAATATCTGAGAGAGTTCTCGTTTTGTGGGTTTCTTAAAGAAGACTTGGGCTGTAATTAGCAAATACTGGGTTTTTTTATAGAATAGATGCTTATAAATAAGTCACTTCCTTCTCTGGAAAGGCATGAATGTTTAATGATTTGGCCTTCATTCGCTTGCCTCGTGAAATGGTAACTAGCACCACTTTACTGGGTTGTGTTGCGCATCAGATCAACTTGTGCGTCTATCCACTTGTTTCTCAGGGGAATCCTTACGTAGAAGCAGGAGGAGGATTATTCATGTATGGAACTACTAATGCAAAAGTGATTTCAGCAGGAGCAGGAGGATTTCAGCGTGATGTGCCGGTTTTGAGCGAATGTCGACAAAGCAAGCTGTAGAAAAAGAAAATGTCTGTCTTTTTTAAAATGCTGTAGCCCACTTTTCAGGACCTTATAGTTCAAAAGATTGGATGATAATCACAAGGATAGTTGGTGAAAGGGGTGCTGTGATTTTGAGCTTGAAGTCTGCAGACAACAGTGCCATGTTTTTTAACTTGGATGAGAAGACAAGGCCACACTGGCAGGTAGGAGAAAAAAGGAGCAAGGTGCGAGGCAGAGCAGTTTATTAGCTCTTCTAGATCCCACCTTGAAGATCTAATAAGCGGCTCTACCTTGCCTCTTGTTCCTTTTTTCTTTTGGCTTTGATGCACCTCCTAAGGACAGCTGGGCCAGATGCAGCAGTTGCACTACACACATTTCTTTATGTTAAAGGTGATGACTGGCAAACAGGGGGCACAACTATATGCACTGGAACATGGTGACTCCTGTCCATTAGAATATTCAAACTGAGCAGCTTTTCACGAAACAGTTATTTGGGGAACATATTGCATGATGCATCAACCCAGATTCTTTTAAGTACACAAAAAAGCACTTTGCATCACTCGTTAGTGACAAAAGGCACAGTTATGCAGCGGGTTTTTCCTCTTGTGGCAGTCTTCACTTGACTAGGCTATCCAAAGGTTTTCTGTTGTCCAAAGACTCCATGCACTTAACTATTTATGAACAGAAGAAATGAATACTTGGAGTGAGTGTCTTTTTTTTCCTGCAGTGTTGCAGTTAGCGGTCATGTTGAATTTGCTGTTTGCTAGCATTCTGAGCAACAGCTGACTCTTTGTTGCAAACAGCTGCTAATGTCTCTGTTTAAAGAGGCATGGTTCTGCTTCGGAGCAGGGGTTCATTGTTCTTTCCACATAGATTTCACTGAACGTGTGGTTTCTTTCTCCCCTTTCTTTGCCCTGCTTCCACAGAACATTTTTTCAAATAACTTGAGTATAAAGTAGGCCAGTATTATGACACCCATTTTACAGATGTAGAGAGAAGTTAATGATCGATACAGTGCATCTCTGCATGTTCTGTGCGCCATCTCCCACTACATTTCTGTATGGGCTACCTGTCGATGAGGGTCAGGGAAGAAGGTAGGTTTTGTTCCCGTCATAAGAGCGTTCAACATTGTTCTTTCACCTGTAGGAGAAAATAGCCATTCGGTTACACGGGGAAAAGTAAACAGGTATACTTGGCATGTACATGCACATGTGCAGACGTGACTGGTGTGCTAAACACTGCTCCTAGTGACCCTAGCTACTGAGAATCAAGCCCGCACGTATATGTGTAGCATTGCGTCTTCATTTCCATAGTGGCATTCTGGGTTCCGTTTCTGTTTCGCACCAAAGCGTTATGGAATGTTGGGAATATATATATGAGGGGAAAGTAATACTGAGGCAGTGTTTTGCAACAGCACTCTTATTTTTCAAAATTGTGAACATGATTTGTTTTCTGTCTTTCAGCTTCATGTTTTCTGTGCCAGGCGGTCTTGGCCCTCCTCAGGGTACGTACAGATATTAAGAGCTGTGCAGAGTGCCTGATTTAATGGGCATAGACTGTAATTAGAGTTTTTCTTGTGAGGATCAGAGTTAAATGCGTCTCTGGTGATTTTAGCTTGCATGTTGTGGTGAAGAGCTACAATGATTCTAGTTGAAAGGCAGGTGTTGGCTCATTCTCGAAGACCCCCAGCCCTCTCACACCCCTGCCATTCCACCATAAGGATATAATTCCCACAATTCCTTGGAGGGAAGGCAGAACATATGGTGCAGTAGAATTGCCCCCAGCACTCTCACACCCCTGCCATTCCACCAAAAGGATATAATTCCCACAAGGCAGAACATATGGTGCAGTAGAATTGGTGTGGGACTAAAGTTTATGCGCTCCTTCCCCCATGGGCACAAAATCTCCACACTGTCCTTGGCTATCGATAAGAGTTTACATGAGCACTGCCGTTAATCAAGCTTGATGCTAACCAGGGAACTGGTTTGGAAACAGTGTCCAGTCCTTAGCTACATTCATGGTTAGCGCTTGTGCTGACATAGATGTTAACCCTGGTCAACACGTGGACATAGGCGTAGCATCCAATGGTGCACTTTGCACCCTCAGTCACAGCCTGCCCCACTCACCGTATCGTGCCTAAATCAAACTGGAAATCAAGGGCATAAGTTATTCTAGCACAGGGGGTCCCTAGCCTTTTTGAGCCTGTGGGCATGTTTGGAATTCTAACATGGGATGGTGGCCTCAGCAGCAAGATGGCTGCCACAGGGGGCGAAGCCAGCCATAGAAGCACAGTGTAGGTCCTTGTGCTGTGGTGGCAGCCGCCGCCATAACAACACCTTAAAAAAATCTGCACAGCCAATCAGAAGCCTTGCTGAGCAAAAGCCCTATCTGGCCCCACCCACTTCCTGAAGACTCTAGGTGGGCACCCAGAAATGTGTCAGCGGGTGCTGTGGGGCCCACAGAGCACCATGTTGGGGACCCCTTCTCTAGCATTTCCGTCTCTGAGCTCGTTCCCACAGTGTGCATCCAAATCCTGCTCCAGACTGCAAAGCCGTCTCTCACTGGTAGTAACCGAGTGAGTCGGCGTGGACATTATCACCTACTCCTAAGGAATGGTGTATCTCATGGGGTTTGGGGGGTGGTGGCTTGATGGGAAGCTTTCCCGCGCATCACCAATTCAGGCAGTTGCCTGAGTTCATTCAGAGGTAATTTGTGCCAGGGAGGGAAGGGGGCTGGCGGGAGCAAGCGTGTCGTCTCATGAGCCATCCCTGCTTCTTTAACTTTGGCTAGTGGACGGGCCTCGCTGTGTCTGCTCT